TACATTTTGTTTCATAACAATTCATGAGAAAAGAGTGAAATGAATACATTCGTCACTTGTGCCCTAAGTACATAAAATATTACTCTATACACATTAATTAGGGTAAATATTTAATAATTTATAAAGTATAAACGTATGTATGTGAAAAGTATAAATACATTGATTTTTAAGAGTATACGTCTAACAACTATGATGTGAAACTAACATATGCGCGCCCTGCAGTCGTTGATACTTCCAACTTTCTTGCCTTCATTTCTCCCACCAGCACCGGGACCTATGTACATGTATTTGACAATATTAGTTGGTCCTAGGCTGTCGAAAATGAAATTGCACCCTTCAAATTATTGTTAATACATTTTGTTCTAAAGCCAGCGTTACAAAGCTTCGTCCCCAGCTGGCTTTGATTCACTACAACAAACTTTGCTTTCAGCGACTAAATGTTAGGAATGGGTTCCAGTCATTTGTGGAGCCATAATAAATCAACCTACATAGCATCCACATGGCATCCATAATGACATGTCAACGTAATGTTTTCCAAGTGGTGTTCCAGTTGGGTGGAGAGTGATGGACCTTAATGGATCAGTCAATAAGGGATTTGATGGAAGTTAATTTTCCATCCAATTGGGACATTATTTGAGTATTTCATGTAATTTGGGATCTTATTTGAGCGTAATTAAAGTTTGGGTCCAAAATTACAAATTTTGTGTAAGTTTGAATCCTTATGTCATATTTTTGCCTAAGTTTTTTGGATAGCCACTCACCTTGCCTTCGTCGTCAAACCTGTTGGTATTTCTTGATTTTTTTTCCCCGTCTTGGCTCACTTTCTGACCCAAACTTATGAATATGCACCCTTATATGGATCTCCAAAGATAAATATATTTCATTCATAGTGAAACTGTCTTTTATTAATACGAGATTGTAGAGCCCAAAAGAATTATACATGTGCACTTACCATCAAACCATCAAATTAGCCACAGAGATAGGGTTATAAAATAAATTATGTTAAAATTTTAAGGTGTTAGTATTGTGCGAGTTGTTTACTTAAATTTTGTATGGAGGACTTATCTAAACATTTATATTTTATTATTTTAAAAAATTAACAGTTAAATTAAAAATTTTATTTATATAGATTATTAATGTTAATTTTCATATTAATTTAATATTTATAAACAATTGAATAAAGAAATTCTATTTATTAATAAAAAAATAATTAATACACTTACTCATTCAATATATCTTTTAACACCTATCCAATTAAACTATTAAAATATAATATTAGTATAGTTGATTTTGTTAACTTTGTGCATATGTATGCATAGCCACGTTTTAAAGTTTGTTTGATTTTAATTTAATGGTATCAAATAATATTTTTTAATGAATATGTGATATGTTGTATTAAACCAAAAAATATATCAATCAATGTCCCTATTGATATGTATTTAATAATGTTAAATTTTGAATAAACGACGAACTAGTTAAACCTATTATATTATTCCAAAATTAGACATAGGTAATTATAAAAATAAAATTTTCAATCAAATGGTTGATTTTCAAAAATATAAATAAAAATTGAGGTTTTATGAAAATCTTCTAAAAAATTTAGGAGGACAATCTCTAAAGTCTTAAATTTTAAAGTTAAAAAATTTAGTATATATTAAAATTATATATGTTATATTAGTATCAAAATTAATATCAATTTTTATATTTTTTTATATAATTTAACAATTAAAAAGAACATTTATTGAATCATTAACATATATATTCATACGTATTGGTTAAAAAAATAAAAATTGCAAAAATTTAAAATAAAATAAAATAAGATAAGCACGTGTTTCACCCATTCGGATAGCGTAAGATTCAAGTCAAAAAAGTTTTTTGAGGAAAAGGTAATTAGCAATGCATTAGGGAAACTGCCATATGGCATCTACATCCAGACCTTATCCAAAAGGATAAGAGTAACAGACAAAGAAAAGAAGAAACTGAAGAAGCAAAGCAGAGTAGACCCGATGCATAGGAGGAAGGGAGGTGAAGTCACTCGAGCAACCTGTGGTCGACCGATCCAGCCATGGGACACCCTTCAATCTACTCCAGAGAGGATGGTGCGAAATCTCCAAGACGCGGCGGCAGAGATCCAGGTCGACGGTGGCCAGATCTGGAAAATCAGCGAGCACCTACCAAGATCTGCAAGATAAAACCGAGGGTCGCCTGATCTAAAAACATAAACTATACAATAGCACAAAGCAAAACAAAACAACCAGAAAAACAAGAAAACCAAAAGGGATCATCGAAAAGGGACCCAAAAGCCGACAGACCTGGAAGGGTCATTGGAGTAAGGAGCACAGGGCGGCTCCAGCGTGCTTGAGCGGCCGGGAAGCCCTGCAGCTCAAGTATCAAAACCTCGGAAGCTCAAAGGATTCTGAGCAAAACCAATGCAGCGCTGGAGAAGGGAAGCAGAAGCAGGAGAAAAGGGAGAGAAAAGGGAGAGAAAAGGGGATTTAGTCAGAAAACTTTTAAAGAATGAGAATTTTAGTTTCTTGTACTCCCCCTGCTTTTTGTTTTTTTCAAATTGTCATGATCCTCCAACTTATACTACTTAATCGTACAGTAAATGAATAATAATTAAA